CTCATATCAGAGTGTATGCTATGTCCTCTTTTGATACCATCCCCTCCATTCGTTCCCTGGAGTTTGATGTGTACATCGATGACACGATTATATCTTGTACTGGCACTCGTCAGCATGCTGTCTCTAGTCTTGTCTCTGCCACTGCTGCCCTTCATCATGCCATCACCGCCCCTGACATGAGGAATTGCCAACTTTCGTTAGACAGGGTTTGTACTGTTGCCTCGTGTAAGTCTCTCGGTCGTGGTCTTGCCTCTGCGCTCGGCCAGCTGTGAGGCAGGGCCACCGATTCGACGGTCAACCCCGGTGTGGATTGCACCGCTGGAGCAGCTGCGCGTGTTTCTGGACGTTGTTCCAAGCTCAAAGCCCGTGCGGCCTTGACTGGGAGGAAAGCTCGCCGTCTCAAGCGTCAGTCAGGCACCATTGGTCGCAGAGCTCTGAGAGCGTACGCGTGCGGTCCTCTCCCTGGCGGGACGTACGGCGCGGACATTCTTGGAGTGAGTGATCAGGTCCTGCTGACGATGCGAAGGCAAGCCTTCTCGACGGTCAGACCTTTCTCTAAAGGGCGTTCTCTCACGGCCGTCAGTTTGTTGTCTGGCGACCCTTGCTTGCGTGCTGCCTGTGCCCCGTTGCTGAGGTGGGGCAAAGAGATTTGGTTAGCCCAGTTTCGTGTTCATCCGTTCTCCATCCAGCATCCTGGGTTGAGGAGAAGCTGGCAGTCAATCTTTGCTCTTCCTCGCTTCACCTGGCCAACTGTTCGTGGCCCCCTTTCGGCGCTCAAGCTCACGCTTGTGCGCCTCGGATGGACCATGGGCGACTACATCGCGATAACGGGCGATCGAGGTTACAAGTTTAGTTTGGGCCTCACCCCCCCGAGCCTTTTGGAAACCCTGTGTAAGGATGCTTATCGCAGGGGGTTGGAAAGGGACTCGGGGGCCAAATGGGACTTGGATTGCAGAGTTTGCCTCGATGTACCTAAAACCGCCATTCAAAGTGAAAAGTCCCCCCCCTGCGCAGAGGGGGTGGATTAGAGCCTGTTCGTGTGACGCCATCTGGACTGCTGACAGAGCGTTGTCTTGTGGATATCACGTTGACGAACTTTGTCCGCTCTGTCGGCATGCCCCCGACAGTATCTTCCACAGGCTGCGGCGGTGCTCTTTCGGCGCGGTGGAGCAGCTGCGTGCTCAGCTGGTCCCCGCCTCGGTAGTTGCTGATTCCGCTCGTGTCTGGGCTGCTGAGGCCGACAGCCACGTGGTCGCTTTGTATACTCGGGGAGCTTTCGCTCACCCCGCCGATGTGTTGCCGCGTCCTGCCCTGGAGGGCACCAATGCCCTGCGTTACGCTTGGCACGTGGATGGGCTCGAAAGCCCCGATGGTCCCTTGGTCCCCGCTAGTGGTAGGATGTGGGGTCACCTGTTCCCCGATGGGTCCTGCCAGCGCCAGGTTGTTCGAGAACTTTCTCGCGCTGCTTGGTGTATTTCCATGAATTCGGATGACGGGAAGTGCCTTGGAGAGGTCAGAGGCCCAGTCTGGGCCCACTTCCCCCAAACACCACAAGCCGCTGAGTACTCTGCCAGATGTGTTGTTGCTCAGTTTGTTTGCTATCCCTCGGTCTTATATAGTGATTGTGCTAACGTTGTGCACCACTCGTTGCTGCCCATTCCCGAGCGCTACTCGGGCAAGCGCTCGTATTCAGGTATGATTTTAAATGCGAATAATGAGGAAGGATCTACAATTCAGTCCATCGTCAAGGTCAAGGCTCACCGAGACGTGGACGAAGAAGGCATCTCCGTGCGTGAAAGATTTCTGCGCCTAGGTAATAGAGATGCAGGCGCTGGTGCCAAGCATGGCCTCCAGCTACACCCTTCTGATGCAGCATTAAAGTTGGAAGTATACGCATTAGTGACTGTTGCCCGCGCCTACTGCATTCTTGCTGCCAATCTGCTGCCGCTCTGGCCTGAGTTGTCGTTAGACGTTCCCTATGTGCCTGTGCCTGCCGCCCCTTGCCACCCTCAGACCTCACGCGCCTGGAAGAAGTGGTCAGGAATTTGGAGGTGCTCCCAGTGCTTGCTCGGCAAAAGGTCCCCGCAAGAGCCCCCTTCCAGGCAGGTGTAGCAATGGGTCTAAGTTAGACGATAATGTTCTCCAAAGTTTAGGGCATCGAGTCATAGCATTTCATTGTTCAAATGGCTCTGTGCTCTTCATATGTGTGCGTTGCAAATGTCACTCGGCTGGAAGCAGGGTCAAAGGCCTTGGAGAGCGGTGCGAGGGTAAACCATCCAGACGTGCTGGGACTGGCTGGAATTACCTCTGCCGCGGCTTGCATCCCCGCGAAAAACGTCGGCCAGTGACAGTTTTTATGGATGATGTGCTCGAACTGTTCTAAGAGCTGTTTGGCTTTTATCTCTGTAGCACGGCCCGGTGCGACTGGCCCTTTTGGCAGGCATCCGTGCTTTACCCCACATCTGGGGCGAGGCCTCCAGTCGTCCTGGCGCTCCTTGCACCAGGGGCTGGAGGCCTCGTCGTCCTTGTGTGGGTGGTCGAATATTACTTTGTGCGTGGCCCTCGGCCCTTCTTATCTTTCGTGATTCATTGGCTCTACATCTGGGGCGAGGCTTTGTCGTCCAGGCGCATCAGCACCTGGGGCAGGCCTCGTCGTCCTTGTGTTAGCCCATCTTGTGCTTCTCGTGTCGTTTCGTGTTCGCACGCGCGTCAGGCACCCCGCATCAGGGGGAATATGTGCGCACATCCTGAAGGTTCTCCTTCAGAGGAGCACGGGGGTAAGTTTATCCCGACTGTCGCTCCAATGGCGTATGCAGTGGCCAGGTGAGTTGTCCCTGGCCCCAGCGCCTGGCCCTCCTTTCGTTCGTGTGTGTGCACGCGTTCGTTGCGCGTGGAGGTGCTTATTCTTGGGAATATGGGGCGATCCGCCCCATTGTCCCTAGTTGGAGGTGTTGCTGTGGACTAGAGCTCAGGCTCCTAGCCCCAACACATTCGCAGCCCAGCGCTCTGGCTGAAATCCGCCCGTCCTCTTGCTCAGTCGAGGGCTGACGGCCTGTGCTGCTTTTCCACTTGCAGGTTCCTGCAGGTGGCCTTGCTCCCCGCCTATCTCTGGCGGGCTTTTGCTTTTGGTCGCCCTCCCGTGTAGAGGGCCTCCTCCTAGCCTTGTGAGGAGGACGGTGGCTCAGTGCTTGCCGTGCCTCAGACTTCGGCCCTTGTCCAGTTGTAGCAGGGTCCCCTTGGTCCCTGTGTGCCTGTGAGGGGCCACCCTGAGGTGGGTCTCTGCTGCCTGGCCTCGTGGAGCGCCCAGGCACACCCACCTCTCATTCGCAGCTGTTTTAAGATAATTGTTCAGTGTTTCTTGGCAGCTGCGGTTTTACTCGCTGCAGTGCCCGCTGTTGCTGCGAGAAGTCATTGAAGCGGTGAGACCTGTCGAGGTCAAAACAAATCCTCTTCCTCCTCCTCTTCATTTCCCCTCCCTTCCCATCCGCCTTCATCCCCCCTTCCCCTCCTCCATCCTCCCACAGCGGCAAGGAAAACAAAAGAAAACCCAGGGAAACAACAGGTGTGTTGCAGAAGCATAACAAAAAACAGACGGAAAAACCAAAACAACCAAAGCAACCACAGGCTTGGACTTGAAAACTAAGCAGAAGCCTAAGGAAAAAACACAAATAACCCAAAACACAAAGATCTGGCACACTTCTCGGTGGAGCGAAGGGGTGGGAAGGGTAGGTCTGTGAATCGTTTTTTTTTTTTTTTTTTTTTTTTTTTTTTTTTTTTCCTTCTTTTTTTGTGTTTTTTTTTTGTTTTTCCTTTGGGTTTTTTTTGCCGTTGTGGAAGGAGGAGGAGGAGGAAGAGGAGGCGGGGGAGGAGGGGGAGAAGGAGGAGGAGGATGAGGAATAGGAGGAGGAGGAGGAGGAGGAGGAGGAGGAGGAGGAGGAGGAGGAGGAGGAGGAGGAGGGAGGAGGAGGAGGAGGAGGAGGAGGAGGAGGAGGAGGAGGAGGAGGAAGAGGAGGAAGGAGGAGGGAGGAGGAGGGAGGAGGAGGAGGAGAGGAGGAGGGGGGAGGAGGGAAGACACTCCTCCTCCTCTGGTTCGGGAGCGTCGGCGTCGGCGTCAGCGGCGACGGAACGTCGTCGTCGTCGTCGTCTCGTCTCGTCGTCGTCGTACTCCTCCTCCTCCTCCTCCTCCTCCTCCTCCTCTTCCTCCTCTCAATCAGATTCCCCTATCGGGGGCGGAATCAAGCAAAACCCCAGGAAAAAGCAAACAACAATAACAAAAAAAACAATCCTGGGGGACTCCTCCCCCGTCCCCTCCTCCTCTTCCCCCTCCAGCAAGTTCCTCTGGATTGTTTTTATTGTTTTTTGTTGTTTGTTTTGCTTTTTCTTAAGGTTTTGCTTGATTCTACTCCGTAAGAGGATTCTGATTGTGATGAAAGGGGCCTCCCCCCAGCAAATTCCTCGTTTTTTTTTTTTTTTTTTTTTTTTTTTTTTTTTTTTTTTTTTTTTTTTTTTTTTTTTTTTTTTTTTTTTTTTTTTTTTGTTGTGTTTTTTGTTTGTTTGTTTGTTTGTTTTGCTTATTCGTATGGTTTTGCTTGATTCTGTTCCGTAAGAGTATTCTGATTGGGATGAAAGGAGGAGGACGAGGAGGAGGAGGAGGAGGAGGAGGAGGAGGAGGAGGAAGGAGGGGAGAGGATGAGGAGGAGGATGAGAAAAGAGGAGGAGAGCGTGGATGAGGAGGAGGAGAAGGAAGTGAAGGAGGAGGAGGAGGAGGAGGAGGAGGAGGAGGAGGAGGAGGAGGAGGAGGAGGAGGAGGATGGAAGATGTTTGAATGGTTTACGCCCGCTGTCATTTTGCAGGGGGCTCCCTTTCACCCCCGAACCCTATATGGTTATAGGGCTATAGGGCTATAGGGCGATAGGGTGATTCTGACACCCTCCTCTGTGCGCCCATTTTGGCTCAAGATGAAAAGGAGATATTGCTGTTCATCGGCATATTATCTCATCATGGTAGCGTGAGCTGGCCACTCACTGCTGCCGACCCCACCCAGGCCTCGGCGCGCCGCGGCCGCGGGCGCCACGGCGAGCCGGCAGGAGGCTCGAGACTGGAGCAGGGCGGCATCGACCGCGGCAAGCTCGGCAGCGACCGAGCGACCGGCAGGGGCCGGGAAGAGCGGCCGCAGGCGCGGCAAGAGGAGTGAGGCAGCGATCGAGACCAGGCGCAAGGCCCTCCAGTTCAAGCACGACTTGAGGGAGACTGGCAACAAGCTCCGAGACCTCGCACATATCGAGGACCATCCCTCGGAGAACTCATCGGACGCCATTGAGGAGGCGCAGAAGGAGGTCCTAGGCAGGATCACGGACCTTGAGCGCACGAGGCAGCAGATAGCTGAGAGCCGGGAGGAGCTCGCAGAGAGACACGCGATCAAGCATGGACGAGCAGGTTCGGCAGCAGTTCGAACTGCTGAGGCAGGAGTTCGCAGCGCAGATGAGCCAGGCAGCCGACGAGATGAGGAGGCTGGAGAGCGAGAGTCATCGGCTTCAGCAGCAAGTAGCAGGAGGCCTCGCGGCAATTCCGCAGGCGATCGAGCGTATGGGCGAGCAGATCAGAGGCGCGTCGAGCGCGGGCGTAGCCGCTCACGGTCTCGTCGACACGAAGGGGATTGGCAAGCCCACGACGATGGGCGACGATCAAGAGAAGTTCGGCGCTTGGAATCGCAAGATGGAGAACTACGTGATCGGCGTGTGCGGAGAGAGTTTTCGTCCCGTTCTTCGGTGGGCTGCAGAAGCCGAACGCCCCGTGACGATCGCGGGGGCTCAGGCGGCGCACGACGGAGTGCCAGAGCTGGAGACAAAGGTCAACCAGCTGTACGCGGCGCTGATCAGCACGACGGCGGACGGGAGCGAGAGCAACGACCTCGTGACGGGCGCTCCCGATGGGAACGGTCTCGAAGCCTGGCGGAAGCTCCACCGCAGGTGGGATCCGACGACAGGTCCGAGGAAGAGGCTGATCCTGAGGTCGATCATCTCGCCTCCGAAGTGCAGCGCGGACGAGCTGGGATCCGCCTTAGAGAAGTGGATCCAGCAGATAGGCAGGTACGAACGCCGCCAAGGAGAAGATGGTCTAGCCGAGCTGCCGGAGGATATCAAGATGGCGGCTCTCGAGATGCTCGTGCCTCAGGACATCGAGAACCACCTCGTCCTCAACAAGCATCGGCTCGAAACGTTCCAGGACAGTCTGAACGAGGTGATGACGATCGTGGAGGCTCGGACCGGCGTGAAGATCAAGGAGCCATCGATCCGTGCGCGGGCGCATCATCCGGACGACATGGACGTCGGGTCATTCGGAGCCCCGAAGGGCAAAGGCAAAGGCAAGGGCAAGGACGGCAAGAGCAAAGGGAAAGGCAAGACTCAGGAGCCGAAGGGGAAGAGCAAATCGACGAACGGATCATACTCAGGCTCCCGCACGTCCCCGACGGGTTCGGGCCGTGGTTCAGGGCACACGGCACCTCGAAACACCAGCGGGCGCTTCGACGGCTACTGTCGGAACTGCGAGAGATGGGGCCACGGCATCCGACTGCTGGAAGAAAGAGCAGGGATCGAGTTCGAGGGCTGGAACTGGATCCGCAACGGGGGCAAGCGCTGGTGGTAAAGCCGGTAGCCGCGGCGGCAAGGCCGGCGGCAAGGCGGCAGGCAGCCTGGAGGAGGAGCCTGAAGCGGAGGTCGCCGCTCTGGACATGGGCAGCCTGGACTGCCTGGAGCTCGCCAGCGGCAGCGGCCGCGGCGTAGCGGCGGTCGATCTCTCCCCCTTCGCGCAGGACGACTGGATGAAGTTCAACTGGGACAGCGGTGCAGCTATCTCAGCATTCCCTCGGAGCTTCGCGCCGCCGACGGGAATGAAGGGCAACGGCAGCACGTATCGTACGGCCAGTGGTGAGCTCGTCCCGGACGAGGGCAGCTTGCAGCTCAAGGCGGAGGACGAGTACGGAGTGCTACGAGCGCTCAAGGGACGCGTGACGAACGTGCACAAGCCGTTGATCTCGGTGGGGCAGGCAGCAGGAGCTGGACAGTGTTCATTCCTGGGCCGCAATGGCGGCTGGATATTCCACGAGAAGAGCCCAATCGGCAAGCGCGTGGTAGGCATGCTCGAGAAGGAGGCGAAGGCGGCGAAGCACCAGATGCTGCCGGTCTATCGCGAGCAGGGCGTCTACAACTTCTACCTCAAGAAGGGCCAACATGGCTCGGTTGCTCCTCTCGAGGAGGGACTTTCGGCGAAGTCGAAGTCCGAGCTGGTGGAGCTCCTCAGCGGCAAGTCGAAGGAGGAGCTGCTGGAGATCCTCGAGAAGACAGTCCCCAGGAGGCAGCCCTCGGCGTAAGCCCACTGGAGGACTTAATACCACGGCCCCCGGCGGCATCGGCTGCGGGGGCGGCAGCGGCGGGGTCGGGGCCTTCCGACGTGAGACCGCCGGGTTTTCAGCCAGCGGCAGCTGCTGCGGCCGACGCTTTGCCAGCTGCTCCTGATGGACAGCAGGCCGAGGAGGGCGAGGAGGAGGCTCGCCCGAGAGTGCTGAAGGCACCTCATGAGCCCTCTCAGAGGGAGATCGCCGAACACGAGGCGATGGGACACGCGACTTATCGCAGCTGGTGTCGCGTGTGTATTGCGGCAAAGGGCCAAGGCCAGCCGCATCTCCGCGCACCGGAGGACGACGAGACAGCGGTGCCGGTGGTCTCGTCCGACTACGCCTTCATGGGCCAGGACGACGCGGACACCATGCCGATGCTGGTCCTTAGGGATCGGCGCTCGAAGATGATGGCGGCGACATTCGTGGAGAAGAAGGGCGACGACGCCTACGCCATCAAGTTCTTCGCACGCTTCTTGCGGATCCTGGGCTACAGGAAGATCGTCAACAAGTCCGACGGCGAGCCAGCGATCCTGCTGGTCAAGAGGCGTGCGGTGGAGGAGGTTCCTGGCCTCGAGGCCATTCCCCAGGAGTCGGCACCGGCCGATCATCAGGCCAATGGGGAGATTGAGGTCACGGTGCGCGAGATCAAGAAGCAGGTGCGGGCGCTCAAGATGGACCTGGAGTCCAAGCTGGGCGTCAAGGTGGAGGACAAGCACCCGGTGCTAGCGCACCTGCCGGAGCACGCCGCATCGGTAATCAACCGATACCGGCGCGGCCAGGACGGCAAGACCGCTCTTCAGCGGCTCACGGGACGGCAGTGGAGGAAGCCGGTCCCGCTCTTCGGCGAACGCTTGATGGCGCGGTTCGCCGGGGAGCGCGCGAGGAAGAACGCGCTGGAGGAGCAGATGGTGGAGGCTCGCTACATCGGCCACCACCCGCGCGACGGCTCGATGATGGTCATCACGAGCGACGGCGTGAAGAAGGCGGTCGGCTTCCGCAGCCTGCCGCAGAGCGAGAAGTGGATCACGGCGGGCTGGGGTGGCCTGAAGGGCCTGCCGTGGGACGTGGCTCCGCGTGCGGCAAGCGCGCCGCGGGCCATCGTCGGACCTGGAGAGGTCGGTCCGCCACCAATTGTGGTGGCGTCGCCGCAGCCGCAGGCGCCGAGGAGGATGTACGTCCTCAAGGCGGACGTCGAGCGGCTGGGCGCAACGCCGGGATGCCCAGGGTGCATCTCGATCGCTCGGCACGGCCGGGTGCTGGCTGGCCACGCGCACAACGCGGTGTGCAGCAAGAGGATCTTCGAAGCGCTGGACGCGGAGGAGGCAGGCCGGGAGAGGACCGGCCAGTATCGAGAGCGGAGGCAGGGCCAAGAGGCCAGAGTCCGACCGGCGGCATCGGCCGCGGCAGGGACCCCTCCGCCGAAGACGGCTCGGAGGATCACCGAGCCGGTGGCAGCGGCGGCAGCGGCATCGGCCGCGCCGGCCGCGACCCGCTCGGCAGCAGCGCCAGCCGTGGCAGCCACGGCGGCGCGCCTGCGAGAGAGCCAGCCGGTAGCACCGGGCTTCGGCGTGGCGGCTCCTTCAGGAGGAGCGAGCTCCAGTTCGGGAGCGGCGCGAGCGGCAGAGGCCGCCGCGGATGTCGACATGACCGCGGCTAGGTCGCGGCTGAAGCGCTCGGCAGAGGTGGCCCCGGATGATGTGCCGGAGGCCCTCGAGCGCGGTGATCCACAGCCGGCAGACGTGCCGGTACCGGTGGACATGGAGGATCTCGCGGCGCAGCCGGCGCCGGCGGAAGGACCTCAGCTGCCAGCTGGAGTGGCAGTCGTGTGGAACGCCAGTGAGGGGAGGCACATGCGGGTGCTCGCCCTCGATGTGGCGTCGATCGAGCTGGTTGAGCTCGGAGTGCTGACGAGAGCGAAGGCGGAGTTGCTCCCGCTCGTTCGCGAACAGGTCAGTGGCCATTGGGCCAGCGCCGGCGTGGACATCGCCGACGAGGAGGTGGACAGCATCGCCCTATCGGCGTTGCAGCTGGGCGCCGTGGACGTGGCCGAGGTGTACTCGCCACATCGGTTCTCGGCTCGGGCAGCGGAATTTCAGCTGCGCCCGGGCTTCGCGGCGGACCTGGAGGAACTCAAGGAGGACGGGGCGCCGTGGGACTTGCGGCGCCCCGAAGATGTCAAGGAGCTCGAGAAGCAGCAGGAGCGGATGGATCCCATCCTGCTCACGGGGTCCCCTCCATGCGAGAAGTTCAGCTTGCTGAGGGGCCTGAGCGCCAAGTTCAGGACCGATGAGCAGGAGGCGGCTGAGATGGAGGAGGCCAGACACCACCTGAAGGTGGCAGTCGACGCCTACTGGCGTCAGCTCAGGAAGCCAGGCAGGTACTTCTTGCATGAGCATCCCTGGAGCGCGCGATCGTGGAATGAGGACATCGTCAAGGAGCTGGTCGCGCATCCAGGAGTCTTCACGGTCAAAGGCCCCATGTGTCGGTGGGGCATGAAGCTCACGAACCCCCGCAATGGCCAGGAGGAGTTCGTGCGCAAGGAGACCGGATGGGTCACCAACCATCCAGGCCTAGCCCGGAGGCTGCAGGGCACTTGCAGCAATGTGGACGGCCGCGCGGAATGGCATCGCCACATCACGCTCGTGGGCGGCATCGCGCGGTTCGCGAAGGTCTATCCACCGAAGTTGGTGGAGGCGGTGCTGGAGGAGCTCAAGGACACGCTGAATGACGTGGGAGAGCTCAGCACCGCCCAGGTGCAGCAGTCGGGCCCAGTCCCTGTGGACGCGGCAGTGCCGCCCGGGGACTGGACGAGTTACTGGGACGACGTCAATGGCGGCTACCTGGAGGCGGGCCTTGTGGCCCAGGCTCGCGCGGTCGAGCGCGAGTGGGTCAAGAAGCAGGAGCTGATCGAGATCGTCCCGAGGTCTCAGGCTTTCGCCGAGACTGGGCGTCCGCCCATCCCACTCAAGTGGGTCGACACGAACAAGGGTGACGCGGAGAGGCCCAACTACAGGAGCAGGCTCGTCGTGAAGGAGATCAAGGCGAAGAAGCGCCCTGACGAGCAGCTGGAGGCGTCCGAGGTCTTCTCGGCCATGCCTCCTCTGGAGGCCATGCGGTCGCTGGTCTCGCTGATGGTCACGTGGACGCGGGAACCACCGCTCCACATTCAGGAGTCGCTTCGCAAGAAGGGCAGGAAGCCGGGCAACTTCAAGATCGGCTTCTTCGACATCAGCAGGGCGCACTTCTACGGGAAGGCGCAGCGGAGGATCTTCGTGGAGCTGGAGGAGGAGAGTCGCAAGGAGTACGGCGAGGACAAGTGCGGCCTACTCCTCAAGTCCTGGTACGGCACGCAGGACGCCAGCAAGATCTGGCAGGGCGACTACACGGAGCTGCTGGAGGAAAACGGCTACAAGGCGGGCGTGTCGTGCCCAGCGGTCTTCTACAAGGAGGTGGACGAGACGAGGCTGCTGGGGCACGGCGACGACTTCGCGGTGCTGGCTCAGCAGCAGGACATCGACAGCTTCGAGGCCACGCTGGGCAAGAAGTACGAGTTCAAGAAGACTGCGAACCTAGGCTTCGACGAGGGCGATGACAAGCAGGCGGTCTTCCTGAATCGGGTCATCGAGGTCAGTGCGGGAGTTCCGCCTGGCGGTGGCCGGCCCTGCCGGCATGCGATGATCGAGCCGGACAAGCGGCACGCGGAGATCGTGATCGACGAGTTGGGTCTCAGCAAGGCCAACGGCGTGGACACGCCGACGGAGAAGCGCAGCGCCGACAAGCAGATGATGGATGCGAAGTCGGCGGCGTTGGGAGCAGCGGAAGCTTCGCGCTTCCGATCCCTCACCATGAGGGTGGCCTACCTGTCTCAGGACAGGCTGGACTTGGCTGAGGCATCGAAGACGCTCGCCAGGTCCATGCAGACGCCAACGGAGGCGAGCTGGCTCATGCTCAAGAGGGTTGGCCGCTACCTCAAGCGGCATCCTAGCACGGTGACGGTTTTCACGGAGCAGAAGACGTTCGACAAGATCCGGGTGTACGTGGACTCCGATCATGCAGGCTGTGCAGTCACGCGGAAGAGCACCGGAGGCTTCGTGGCGATGCTGGGGCATCATGTAGTCAAGCACGGCAGTAACCTGCAGTCGACGGTTTCATTGAGCAGCGGGGAGAGCGAGTACTACGCCCTGGTGAAGGGCGGGAGCGTGGGCCTAGGCCTTCACAGCCTCTTCGCGGATTGGGGGCTGGACCTGAAGGTGGAGCTTGCCTCGGATTCATCGGCGGCCCGGGGCCACGTCCAACGGCGAGGTCTCGGGAAGATGCGGCATGTTCAATCACGATACTTGTGGATCCAGGAGCGTGTTGGCAAGGGCGACCTCTCGATCGCTGCAGTTCCTGGCAAGAACAATGTCGCGGACGTGCTGACCAAGAGCGTGGGTGGCTCCCTTTTGAGGAGACACATGGCTACGCTGAACATCTGGGATCGGGCGCCGAGTTCGAATCAGAAGGACATCAAGTGATGGAGTGGATCGAATCCATGCTCCGCTACCTGTGGGGCTGGATGAGGTTCCGCCGGCGGCGGTGTGATCGCGCCGGGCGGAGTGAGGGGCTCGCGGCATGGCCGCAGCCTAGCCGATGAGCTGGGCGCGTCGGCTCGGGCGCGCCCGCGTACGACTTAGGTCGTGCCTGGCCGGTTTGCGGCCAGGCCCGAGGAGGAGTGATTCTGACACCCTCCTCTGTGCGCCCATTTTGGCTCAAGATGAAAAGGAGATATTGCTGTTCATCGGCATATTATCTCATCATAGGGATACAGGGCTATAAAGCTATAGGGCTACCGGGCACCGGGCACCCGGGCACCCGGCACCCGGGCACCCGGGCACCCACCCGGGCACTGGGCACCCGTCACCCCGGCACCCGGGCACCCGGGCATCTGGGCACCCAGGCCCGGCCACCGAATCGGCGGCGAACCCGGGCACCCAGGCACTGGGCACCCGGGCACCCGGGCCCGGCCACCGAATCGGCGGCGAACCGGGGCACCCGGGCACCCGGGCACCCGGGCACCCGGGCACCCAGGCCCGGCCACCGAATCGGCGGCACACCTCACCTTCCCTTAAATCCGCTAGGACCCCTACAGAGGCAAGCTCTGATTGGGGAATGTAGAAAAGAGAAGGGCGTATTTCAGCAAATTGAGTGAAGGAAGGCAAGTGGAGTCCAACAACTTAAAAGGGGACCGCTGGGTGCAGGCAAGCTATACGAGGAGAGGAGGGGCGGATCAGTAATCCTCGTACTGGGGGTACCTGGTGTACGGGAGGTAGTCGATGTGGAAATTGTGGGGTCGTAGACTGGCGTCCGTGATCCGGCCAGCTTGTCACGCGGTACTTGGTGTTCTGAAAACCATTGAGGTGGAAGGTGAGAGGTCGTATAGTATCCCAAGCATCCACCGTACTTGCGCCGTCTGTAGTCGCCTATCCTCTTGGATGTCTCGTGGGAGGCAGTGTTCTACCCCCAGTAGTCGCCACCATCTGCCTGACGGGTAGGAAGCCTTGGTTGAGGTGTTGGTGGAGGTTTGTGGTCTGGCATGGGGACGTTGGCCTTGGACATCGTTGGTGCTGCCATTGCTGTCGTAACTTCGTGTCGCTGCTGTAATTCTGCGTTGCGTACATTGCGTTGTCGTACTTCTTCCAGGCACTGGTGGTGGTGCTGCTGGTGGTTCCGAGTAGTGCCCAGGTGCTGCAGGAATCACTGGTCTTTGCTGTCCTCTACGTATAGTGTTTCCATGTGTCCAGCGTGTGGGGGGTCGGTGTTAAAGCCTGTCTGTCCGGCATTGTGGGCGAGTAGGCGGTGCTTTTGGACGAAAGTAGATGTGGACGTTCGCGGAGGTCTGTGGTGATAGCTCTGTTGTTGCTTTGCTGGTGAGCCAGGGCTGTGCTGCTGCTGCTGCTGCTACTGCTGCTTTGCGAGGTGGACAGATCGCTGGGATCTTGAGTCTTGGCGGGGGTGGGTGCGTCGGGCTTCGCATCGCTCTGGTGGTGCTGGTATGTTGCGTTGTTGGTGCAATCGTGTTTGTTGCTTGTTGGGTTGACGTGATCGTAACGTTCGGTTCCTCCTCCTCCTCCTCCTCCTCCCCCTCCCCCTCCTCCTCCTCCTCCTCCTCGTCCCCCTCCTCCTCCTCCTCCTCCTCCTCTTCCTCCTCCTCCCTCTAGCTGCCCTTTGTGCCTACTAGATAGCCAGGGCCGCCCAAACAGCCAGACCGCCATTACACATAATGACTTGATAGAAAGGAGGGCGAAGGCACGCGCGGCGGCTACGGCGTGGATTTCTTCTCTTGCACTGCCTCTTTACAGCCCCATGACGGCGCGATCGGATAGAATGGGGCAGATCTACACCGCAGCCGAGAATTCTGACATGATAGCGTTGACAGGTACGGCGAGTGCGGGCTGGGAGAATCGGATGACGCAGGGCAGGATCAACGGCACCAGGTACTACGAAGCGGGATTGAGCAAAGGGGAATGGACAAACACAAGCACAGACATAGTCATAGTGCTGCAGGGCAAACTGAGGCACGCGCAGGTAGTCGATATCGCGGAACAGCCGGGGCTAGCATGAACGACTCAGCAACTACGACCTCGCCATACAGATGATGGGCTACCACTGCCCTTCTCAGCCCTACAAACCAGGGACACGGAAACAGTACTTTGCGACGCTGGGCAGGCTGTTCAAGTGCATGGAGGAGACGGCGAATAACAGGCCGCCACATAGTGTCCTACTGACGGCGGGAGACCTGAACGATGGAGCGGGCATCACCGCGAATAACGAGCAACCATAATCGCCATCGCTGGGACTAGGACAAGCGCGAGAAATATTTCCAGTCGGAGCGGGGCAGTAAGCGAGAATGTTCGGTGAGAGGCACAATCGGACGGTCCTTCATACGGGGGGGCCTGGAGGTCCACACACCTCGGCGAGAAGAGCAGCGACTGCATCATGGTGCCACAAGAGCTGACGGCAAGCGTGATATCCCAGGGGCCTCTCCTTCGATTGACACGAGACTCCAGCGCATTCCCCGCCGGGAGCATCGAGATCGCGCACCAGTGCGGGCTGCGCTGAGATATCACTGCGGCAGCGAATGGCCAAGAACAGCACAACGCCGAAGTGGGAGCGAGACGGGCTAGTACAAGCAGTGAGAAAGGGGCTACGTAAAGAACGACTTCGTCGCGGACCAGAAAAAAAAGTAGCGAGGATTACGACGTGGAGGGGAAACCGCATCGACCAGCTCTTCGTCGACATCAACACCAGGATCATAGAGACAGGGCAGCAACATTATGTGCGGCAGCCAGCGCGTCCAAGGGGCTACGAAGATCTCAAGAAAGAAAGGATGATATTACTACCATGACGGCGCGAGGGGCGAGAGGAACGTAGACGGCGAAACTAATGACTACATATCAACCCAGACATATCATAGCCACCTACCACATGCCAGAGGTACTGCCAGAAAAAGACTAGACATTGCCAGAGTAGGGCGACTCTCGCGACTGATAGCGGGAGGCAGATATAGACCACCCAAAGAGATTATTGTGCAGCGGTGACGGCACACCCAACTAGAAGAAAGTGGCTGGATTATTGGAGGTTACCAAGAGGCGGAAGAGGCATGGGAGGAGCCGAATCGAGATAGAGGGCATCCCGTGTGCAGCCGAGGACAACCATTACTGAATCGCTTCGCTCATTCCGCCGGCCCGTGGGGGCCTCTTGGGGGCCTCTTAGGGCCCAAGAGGCTTCTTGGAGGCCTCTTAGAGCCTCTTGGGGGCCTCTTGGGCCGTCTTGGGGCGTCGCGACGCCGAAAAAGGTGGAAAGAAACGCCAACATCTCCCCAAAACCTAAGGACAAGCAATGAATTTTGCCTCTTGGGGCCCTCTTGGGAGTGCTCTTGAAAGCCTCGTGGGGCGTCTGAGCGTCTTGGAGCGATCTTGTGGCATTTCGGACCCTTGGTGTACCGTCTTGGGGGCATCTTGGGCGCTCTTGGCTCTTCTTGGGGCTCTTTCTTGGTTCATCTTGGGGCTCTCGGGAACGTCTCGGGGCCTTGTTGGTGCGCTCTGGGGGCTTCTCCCGGGACCTTGCCGGGGTACTTTCCGTCCGGGGACCCCAGGGGCCGCCCCGCGCGCGCGAATTAGAAATATTGTGAACCAGCTGCCGGAGATCTTAGCACGCCTCTTGCCCGTTGGGCCGGCGACTTTCGCGGGCGACCTTGAGGAGCTCGTCGGCGATGATTGCGAGATGGTCACAGCCAGAGTGAAGCAAGCTAAACAACGACGAGCGGCGCCGCCGATGGCGGCACCATCGGAATTGCGGAGACTACTGCTCGATGCGCCAGAGATGGCAAACGAATGGGGGTATCGGCAAGCAGGCCTCGGAGTGGCGGCTGAAAACAAGCATGTGGAAGGATTCGAGGCATTGTTCAAAGAAGCGGGCTTGGCAGCGATCAGAATGGGCGACAATGCGCCGGTGCGATGGCGCGTGAGCGCCTCCACGGCAGCGAGACAGAACGCCAAGAAGGGACTTGCGAGAAGCGCGAGGTACCACATCATGAGCCCGATTGGCAAAGCAGCGGGCATGAAGCAAAGGGGGCCAGGGTGCACGGCGACCAGGATTACGGATCCGTGCGGGGGGGGCGCAGAGGGGGAGCCGTAGTGGCGATGGCGATAGAGGAACCCTGCTGACAGAGCCAGGCAAGCAGGACGACGCTACGCGTCGATGATGAAGGACAAGTCCAACGCATTCGCAAACTGCAAGTGGATCGCGATGGACGAGGCCAATCACATCATGCCCGAGAACCAGTGGGACTTGGGAGAGCGGAGATATAAGGGAGCTACATTCAGGATCCCATGCAGAGATAAAGAAGAAGGAATGTGCATCAAACCGCAATGCGGAGGACTGCTAGGTGGCCCCCATACTGCCGAGAACTTCGCGGCCAGCTTTGCGCCATGCATTCAGAGATGGACCGAGGGCTGCAATGGGCCGCTGGACACGGACCAGCTACTTTGTGGAAGATGGGAATTGTTCAGAGACCTAGCCTACGTGGGCCTCACCAAGTACGCGGATTACCTCAGGAAGCTGATCTTGGGAGAGAGACAGAGAGAGAGAGAGAGAGAGAGAGAGAGAGAGAGAGAGACGCACATAAGAAAAAATAGCAAACTCGAAGGGCCTGGTCGCGAAGGCCAATCAGGTGGACGAGAAGTTGAAGATCGGACGGGCTGAGATCGGCCTCGAGCAAAACCAAGACAAACAATATAACGTTGTACTATTCCCAGGGCCTGGAACGGCACGGGCGCACTCAGATGAGCAAGACAAAGGACTTCAAGATGCCAGGCAAAGTGCTCGAGGCAGCAATGTACCTGGGGTCGTGCATCGCGGCCGAGCAGAACTACGCCACCGAGATGCAGGAGCGGGCGCAGGCGATGAAGAAGAGCTACAACGAGTGCGGCGGCTTCTGGTCCAAGGCGGTTTTGCCGTGCAGATGGGGGCGAGCCGTGCTGATCTGCAGGGTGATAAACACGGGCCTGTTGTGCGTCGAGTGCTTTATCCCCGCGCTGAACGAGTGCCGGCAGCTGCAGAGTGCGATGGGGGCCCGCTCAGACGCGCTATGCGAGGAGGAGCTGCGATGTTCAGGCCCGACCGTAGCGCGCGCAGCCTTTCGACTTCGGAAGTCTTTCGCCACTGGCAAGTACTGCCGCCAGCAGGAGACGCGCTGGCACGGCGCCTTGGTTGGGCAACACATCTTTTCCGCTCCCCCAGCAAGCGCCGCCAGCTCGTCGCGATGTTCGGGGAACTCGATTTCGAAGCCCCGTCAGACGGCGCCTCCCCAGACGAGCTTCGGAGCGACGCGAGCCCCTTGGTCGAGCAATTCGCGAACGACGCTGGACAAACATGCTTCGGCGAGTTTCCCTGGGCTTCGGGGGAGAGGTATCGGTCGGAGAAATATTCGCGCTAGCCGTGCGTGAGCAGTTGCATTTACCAGACGTCCGTGAAGTTAGATCAGCTACGCTGTCCATAGCCGTACTCCTCCAGGAAATGGCGAACGCGGCGAGCGGCGGGAAGAACTAGCCTCGTGCGATCCCCAACCCTTGAATTGTGAACTATTGAACGAAGGGCCCGAATGTGGACCGTTATTCGTAAGTAAGAAGGCGTTGCGCAGCCGCGGCATGCGATGTCATCGTGCGTGCACCTCAGCAGCGGTATTGCCATCCAACTGCGATGCACCAGCTGCGGCCGGGCTTTCGCATGCGGAGGCGCGGCGTGGAAACATCTGACCATAAATATAACGGGGGGATATTGTAACCGGGACAAGACGCGAAACCAAAGCCCAGCTACGCCGCGCGAGCCTACGCGCCCCATCTGTGGTCGCGTCGCCTTGGACGGAGTGGCTGCGCGCAATTGTGCGCGCGCCTGCCGCGGAGGATGCTACCGCCGCCAATGGGCGATGGCGGCGCTATCCGACCAGATGCCGTAGTGGGGCGCGCCAGCGGCATCTGCGGGGCCACCGAGACCAGACCGTCGCCGACAACCGCTCAGACCAGCAGGAGGAGGTGCGGGCAGGCAGAGCCGCGGCGCCCAACAACCAGATCGTGGACCTCGCGGCGCGCCTCTCCCTGGCGCTGGCCAGATGGCAGGCGGAACTTGCGGCGGCAGTATTACAGACATGGGAGATCGACACCAGTGCGCCTATCGCTGCGTCGGGATTGGCCGGAGGCGAGGAGTGCAACGACGCGGCCCAGGGCTTGGGGAGGCGATCGCGACGGGGGGGCGGTGGGCGCGGCCTTGCTTGGCAGCCCGCGCGTGAAGATCTGGGCGGGCATCTGCGTGTGCATCGGCAAGGCGCTAGAAGAAGGCATAGCCGAGAGTGCGTGCTGCAGGGCAACGTGGAGAAGGTCATGGACAGAGTACCACCGGTATTCAGGGTCAAGCGCAACATGGGCAACGAAGGTGGAGGCGCAGCGGGAAAGGGCAGGTTCCAGTTTCATATGCATCGCAACTTCCACCAGATAGAGGCGATGCTCGTGTCGATGCGGGCAGTGAGCTGCCTCGGATGACTTGTGGAGCTTCCCTGGGAGCGAAGTGGCGAACCTTAAGAGTATTTCGACAACGCTGGCGGGCTAGTTGGCTCGAAAAATTTCAACTCAAGTTTTGCATATTTTGGATCGGTTGAAAATCATGTTTTCGAAATTGCACAGTTCAGTCGAGCTCTACTGTTTTCCCCCCATCTTTGATGTTATTCCCGCTCGCCATCTTAATCTCAGGTCGATCGGGTGGATAATACTATCAAACAGCGCTGCGCAAGGAGGGAGCTATCCGCGAGGTCGGGGCGGCGCCGAGGCGAACGCTGGAGCGGGGGCTTGGCAGGCTTGTGAGCGACTAAGTGAGTGCGAAAACTATACACTGCAGCATCGCTCTGTCCCCAGCGCCTCCCTCCCTACAGTAGTTCCGCGAACATATCATAACAGAATTCGGTTTCATGGGTTGGCGCGCGCTGGAATGATCCCCCCTCCTCGTGGGCAGGCAGCCCCAGAAGTTTTTAGGCTCCAGGGAAGAGGCTTTCCGAAGTGCTTAGTTACTCGCCGACCCCCACCACCGCCCCCCGAGCCAAAAAACAAGGGTAAGGGTAGGGGAAAAAAGGGGCCGCCGCAAGGGCGATACAGGGGGCAGGCGAGAGGGCATCCGTAAACCGGGTGCTACCCTGCCCGCAGACACCTGCGTGGGGGGAGTCGTTGCAGGTAGGGCCTGTGCGCACAAGTGGCGCCTGCTTCCCCCCTCCCAGTAAAGTGACCCCAGCGAGGCCGAGCCAGATACAAACTTTTGTAGGTAGCGTGCTCCAGAGCCGGCGCCAAATCAGACCATCGGCCCCGCAGCTCGATCGATCGGTCCTCCTCCTCTGCCTCCTCTTTCTGGCATCTCCTCGTCCAGCGCCGCCGCCGCCCCCGCTGCGGCCGCCGCCGCCAGCGCGGCGTTGGGTTCCACCTCGGCCTCCACCCCGCCCCACCGCCTCGCCGCCTGCCCGCGGCGAGGGACGGGGAGGCGCGGGAGGCCCCCCTCCACGGCCGCTGCTGCGGCCGCCTCGCCGCCTGCCCGCGGCGAGGGACGGGGGGGCACGGGAGGCCACCCGCCGCAGGCACTCGCGCGCGGCCGCGCCCAGAGGGTGAAGTGGAACGAAATGAATAAAGCGGGTGAGGAGGGAGGGCCCGGCCGGACAGTGGCTGCGTCGGCTTGAGCCCTCATCCTCTTTCTCCTCCTCCTCCTCCTTCTCTTCCTCCTCTTTTTCCTCCTCCTCCTCCTCCTCCTCCTCCTCCTCCTTCTCCTCGTCCTAATAGGCCTTCGCCGCCCTCGCTGCGCCCCCCGCCGTCGCCGCCTCTTCCTCCTCTCCGTTTTCCGGCGCCTTGCCCTCCGCAGGGCGCTTTAGGGTCTTCAGCCGTAGTAACTTGTCTGTTTCCCAAACAGTGTTTGCACCTTGGGGTTCTTACTGGTACTGTTTGGAACTGTTTCCTGCTTGCACATTCCGTCGTTCTCGGTGGTGCCTTCCGGCTGGTTGGTGCCCTATACACGGGTACCCGATGGTTTGCCCTGTATTGAACATTCGGCCCTTCCCGGTCAGTCCTCCATGGCTGTGGCCGGATGCGTTGGGTCGATGCGTTGGTGCTGTATGGCTTGCCTTGTTTTTTGCACTCGGCGGTTCCCTAAAGGTGCCTTATGATTGATGCGGTGCAACGCGTAGATCGCACCGCACAGGTTACTCTTCACTGATTGCACCACGCCCTGGCCAGTGCACAAGCTAGACTGATTCGTTATTTTGGAGTCCAGGTGCTGGCATCAATTCTGTTTTTTTTGGGGGCGTAGGAATCAGCATGCGGCAACATAAAGACAGCATGCGCGCTGCACCTGAACTTGTGCGGCACGGTCATGTCTGGTCGGGCTTGGTCCTACTTGGTCCAGTTATAGCATTTTGATAGTTTAGGGGGGGTCGTTGTAGATCTCAAGGATTACGAGTGTGGCTGAATGTCAGGGTGGAGGCTGCAGGTACGGGGTATCATTTCATTTCAAGATGCGGGTCAATTCGGCTGTGGCATTGGTGATTGTGTTGTGCCCTTTCCTTGCATTCTGTGCAGCTGGTGCGCATTCGTTGGCGACTGCGCCCGGTGAGTGTGCGCACTTCGGAGTGCCCACCTCGTGCCGCGCCCTGCGCAGTCGCGGGCTCGAGACCAAGGCGTCGCACAGTGCGCCGAGGAGCCTCGGCACCAGTGCTGCGGCGGATGTCGCGCTTTGGACAGCGATGGCCTCCAAGCGGCTGCTGAAGACTCTGGCCGGCGGCGGCCTGCTCGCTAACGTCTTCCTCTACATCTGCTTCCGCGGCCCCCAGGCGGGCGCCGGCACAAGCGGCGCGAAGGGGGGGGCGTTCCCCAGCAAGCCCGAAGTCGTGCCTGTCCCTCTACAGGAGGAGTATTCAGAAATAGTCAAGAAATAGTCTGGGGACGATGTTATTTTCTCTTGGACCATTTGGGGGCACTTTTGTAGTATGTTTTTTGTTTTCGTCGAAAATCCCCCTGTAGGGGGACACGCCCGACTGAAAGCAAGCCCCTTCCTGTCATTCTCCCCCGTGCAGTTTCGCGGCACGGAGAGCCTCTCCCCTCCCTCTCCTGAGGTCTAGGGGGACGAACAGTGACGTAGACATACGGACCCGCAGGGGTCCGCGGCGCCGCCAGGGGCCCCCATCGCCGACCCGGGAAATCCGCGCGGACCTGCGAGTTTGTGTGTTTATGCCACTGTTCGTTCCCCTAAGCTCGGCCCAATGGGGTGACCAAACGTTCGGGACTCCCTGGGCACTGCGTTCAGACAAGATGCCCTGGACGTTGTCGGGGGTAGGATTGGGGGTCCAAGGAGGGGGTCCGGAACGATGGGGTCCCAAGGGTAGGGACGCGCTTGCATGTTGAATTTGCGTTTTGATGGCCCACTTGCCCTTGGGCCCCATGCCTCAGGGCCCCATCTTTGAAGTGGCAGTAGGAGTTTTCACATTCCAGTCGTGTTCAGACGTTTGGGATGGCGGTGTCACCTAGCTGCTAACTTCCTGACATGGCGTTGCAGCCTCGCCTCACCGCCATCGGCGCTCCCGGCTCGGACTGGTGCTCTCGTCGGAGCGCCTGCCGCTTGCTCTTGCCTGCGACTCAGTGCTATCGCCCACTGCTTCTCCGGACAGGCTGCCCTCCTATGTTGGTCAGAATTGTGGGTCTTCCACGCCGACTTACTTGCTCTTCGACTTTCAGAGCTGTTCTCTGGCCGTGTGCTTACAAGGTGCACCTATCAGAAATCCCAAGGAAAACACATACCTTCGTGGACTCCAGATTTCGTTCAAGAAAGTCAAGAACCTGGACTGGACCCAGGCCGTTTTCTCGTAGTTTTTTTTGGGTCGTAGACTCTTCGAAGCTCTAGGCCTGGACTGCCGCTCCAGAAGACGCTGGGAGTGAAGCATGTCCCCAGCTTAGCATTCCCGCAGCTCTAAGCACGAGGAAGCGACTGCGCGCCCGACCCGAGCAGCATACCCAGACGTGATGGCGTCGTAAAAGGAGGAGGAGAAGGAGGAGGAGGAGGAGGAGGAGGAGGGGGAGGAGGAGGGGGAGAAGGGGGAGGAGGCGGAGGAGGAGGAGGAGGAGGAGGAGGAGGAGGCCTCTGCCGCACTGCCGCCATGCTCGGAGGCCGCTCGCCCGTGCCCGAGCTGTCTTGGCGAACTGGTCGGCTGACGATGGCCAGAACGAATCAACTCCAAGCTCGGGGGCGGCAAAGAGGGGGGTGATGACAATCTTCGGGATGCGCCCTCAAACAATAAGGGAAAAATCCCTAAGGTTGGCATCGTGACGAGGAGATGCCCAGCAGAGGGATAGGGATATGTCCCAGGCTGGTAAAGCTGCAGCTGGCGCCAGCAAGGAGGTCCCAGGTGTCTCGGGGGCGGAAAAGAGGGGGGTGACGACTAGGGGGGGGTGGATATCATGGCGGGGGCCATGATATTTCCCCAGATTTCATGGCGCCTCTTCTGATTTCATTACGTCCCTGGCCCTCCCGCTGGGCCGCGCACATGCCGCCGGTCATGATTTGCACCCCCCCCCTCTTGGACCCCCCCCCCTCTTGGCCGCTCCCGACAAGCACGGGGGTATCCCAACGGCCGCTCGGATCCCAACCCTCAGGCGGAAGCCCTGGGGAGCCCTCGGGACGAGCCGCGGGTCCGGGGAGCGCGGGGGGTGCGCGGTGCGCTTCGTGTGAGCGCTCGAGAGGTGTGCGCGTCGCCGCTCGGATTCGAGGCCAGAGCCCCTCAGGGAGAGCTGGATGTCCAGGGAGAGCAGAAGGTCTATCCCAACCTGGTTTTCATACGGTCGCGCATCTGATGAGGGCACCCCCTCCCGAAGAGCTTGGTCGTCGCTTCTTGACCACCAGCTTGCCGGAGAGCTGGCGAACGATCGCCCCTTCCAGCGTTACCAACAGAAGTCGACCCAGGTCTGTTTCATAAAACCTCTGGGGGGCTGGCCCAGATTTCTGAAACGATCATCTTGTCGATCATATGCTCGACTGTATCCCACCTGTGTTTTCGAAGGTCTTGCAAACAGCCGCTCGCAATCAACCCCTTAGGCGGGGCACCCTGGGGGTTCTCTGGGAGCGCTGGAGGTTGGCGCATCGCGAGAGGTTCGTCTTCTCCGTGCTGTTCCAGGGTAGGCGGCTGGCCGCTCGGTTTGCAGCCCGTGGGTGGGGGCCTGCAGGGCAGGGCGCTCCACATGTGCATCTACCTCGGGTGCAGAGCCCCCCCGCCCCTGGAGGGCGGTGAGAAGGAGGGCGAGTCTGAGAGAGGGTGCTCCCCTGGGTAGAATTCATCGCACCCGCCGTCCCGGCCACGGATGCTGCGTTTGTGTTGCGGGAACATGGGCAACACATCGGTTGAATTGTTTATGTTAGTCCTCCAGTCTGGTTTTCCTCCCAGAGCCATTGCATCTTGCCTTGCTTCATCAATGCGGAAGTGACCGCAAACCGTCTGCCCGTTTCTCGTGCATTGGCGGGTACATGACGCTTCGCGCGCGTTTCATTTGAACCGCACGCGTGAGGCGGGGACGCTCGAAAGCGACCGCGAGTGCCTTAGCCAACAATATCTACGCTGTTCGTCTGGCCACCCTCGTCCCAGCCCCTTTCACCGAGCGTAGGTGGCACAGCAGGCACGACACCATACTTCGTGACTCATAAGACCTCAAGGGTTGTGGGCTTGATTGCTCTTCTTTCGCCCCCCAGGAGGTGTCGCTGCAGTTCCTGACGACTGGTGGGCAGAACTTTGCTGCAGCGAAAGACGGCCCAGACGCGGCAGGAGCGGAGGAGGAGCAGGAGGACGCGGAGGGCCCGCAGGCAGAAGACGAGGAGGATGAGGCAGAGGGGGCAGCGCCCGCTGAAGCCCCACGAGAGGCAGCGCGAGCTTCGGCCGAGGCTCGGGTGCAGGCGAAAGGGGGACTCATGCCAGAGAGTGCCCAGCAATCCGCCTCGCTCGAAGAGATATCTTCGCTTTGCCTCAATGCTTGCGGTATGAGGCCATTCCAGCCGTGTTTGCGGGCAGGTTGAGCTCCCCCTGTGCCAGGAAGCTGGACACACGTGACGTGGCTGGCCTGGGCGAGAGTTGGACATACGTGGCCTGATCTTTTTTCAGCACCTGTCCCTTCTATGGCCCGGTGCGTGGGGCTTCTGTACGGATATCCAGCGCGAGAGTTCCAGAAGCTTCATATTCAAATCCAGCAACTCGCGCCCCCATAGGAGGAGGAGGAGGAGCATGATGATGATGACGATGATGATGATGATGATCATGATGATGATGATGATGATGATGATGATGATGATGATGATGATGATGATGATGCTGATGATGATGATGATGATGATGATGACGATGATGGTGATGATGATGATGATGATGCTGATGATGATGATGATGATGATGATGAATATGATGATGACGATGATGA